AGGTTCGCTGACCCTTAACATCTACATCTCTATGTGCTGATCCAGATTTCAAGCACAATTCTAGTCTAGAGCATTTTAGCATCAAATTTTAGTCGGCCTCTTGATGCAATTTGAATGCTTACTTTTGTTCGACGGCCTAGCCAGCACAGAAAACGCTCAACTTAAAATGAGTCTGCATGAAGCCTTTAATCGCTACAGCTTCCTCCAGGCCTTTGCAAAGCTCAGAAGATGATTTGCTTCTTCTGACGGGCTTCTAACATAACTTTTTTCCGCATCAAACTTCAACTGGAGGTGGTGTGGAAAGAGAAACCCATGGCTGATTGTTTTTTTTTTGTTTTTTTTCTAGAGGTTCTCAGATGGAAGTTAGCTAATTGGGTTAGGCAGCTTGACCCTGTTGAGAACACAGTGCGGGTTTAATTGTGAGCTCAAATCTGCTCATAATCCCTTAATTTGACAGAATGGAGGTAGCAAATTGCTGGAGTTTAACTGAGGGAGAGGACAACAGAATGAAGTTTTAAAGGAACAGTAGCAACATACCGACTTAACAGTACTTTACTTTTCAGTAGCGTGACAGTGGCTCATCTGTTTTCAAAACAGAGTAGCTTTTCCAGTAGCAAGCACATTTTTTTCAAACAAGTAGCAGAATATCACAACAAAACTCTACATTGCTATTTTTGTCACATTGTATTGCATTACATATTGTATTACAGCGAAGCAAACTGAGGTATAGTCAAACACTCACACTCCCCTAAAATGTCTGTTATTGGCATAACACCTGAGAGGTCTGATTCAATTAAAAGAAAGAAAGAAAGAAAATTTACTGCTGCTGTTCATCATCAGTTTTTTACTCAGTAATATATATTATTATTTACATTTAGGAATTTAACACACTTTTCTAAACAAAGTGACTTCATTAATGCATTGAAGATACACTATACATTTTAGCAATTCATGAATTCCCTGGGAATCGAACACAGGACCTATATACATGATTAAATATTACATGTAATAAGTTATATGATAAATAAATATCATATTTTGTTTAAATAATTGTTCAAATTTGCAATTTAGTGCTGTCAAAAGTGTTTTTGTGCTATTAAAACGGCTCTGAGGAAAAATCAACAACACTGTTTTTATGTATTGAAAACCTGAGAAAAAATACATTATACCATGCTTTATACCAGGTCATTGATAACAGACTTGTACTGTCTGAATTTCTTTTCACAGTGCATTTGCATAATTTGACATCAAACATGAAGCATCAAAGCATTTTCCTCAAGCTTAATTTGTTAAACATGAATTTGAGAGACTCATAAGCGTGTAGCAATCATTAGCTTATGTCAGCCATCACTTGTTCTTCTGGTTCTTGTTCCTGTACCTCAGCGGATTACGTGCTTTATATAGTTGATACTGATGTTTGCTCTCTGTCCATCCCTTGTGGGCCTGGAGAAGCCCCCATTGCATGTTGTCTATTATGCAAACAATAGTGTTGTCATTATCAGCAGAACACCCCTTTGCAGGGCCTTGTCACTGGTTGTCACCATCTGATGAGTGTAAATTGCCCTGTTTCATAATAACCAAAGTGAAAATGCAACATGCACAGCAGAGAGAGAGAGAGAGAATTGATAGGGTCCCAGTGTTGCAAATCTGTTTTTAGTTTTTTTTAAATCTCATATACACACTGAGCTGAAGCATAAGGTCTTCATTTTAGATTTGTCATATTCTTCTGTGATATATTGGCACTGTCTGCTGTCCTCAGCTGGCTCCTCTCAGTGTCCCAGGAAGCGTTAATGTCAGATTGTGCTCAGGTTGCCGATGGTGGCTCTGGTTTCTTTATGGAAGCTAAGGCCAAGTTCACTGTCGCTCATGTCCTCTCACACCTGTCTGCCTCAGCTTTCCTTGTAGCATATCAATATTTCAGAAGGCCAGGGGAAGGGCAGAGGGTGACAAAATGAACTGGCCCAAAGGCCCCCTGGTCCTAACCATAACCTCAACTATGTCCTCAAGAATAAGCAAAGATTGTAATTGGTAAGATTAGACAGACTGAGTCGTGTTAAAGCACATTTTGTTTCATTTTGTTTAATTAAATGATTGTGACAGAGTTAGGCCTGTTTAAGTTACAAGTTCACTACCGTTCAATAGTTTCAAATGTTTTTTGAAATAAGTCTTTTATTTTTAAAAACAGTAATATTTTGAAATATTATTACAATTTAGAATAAATGTTTTCTATTTAGAAATGTTTTACAATGTAATTTATTCTTGTGATGGCAAAGCTGAATTTTCAGCATCATTACCCCAGTCTTCAGTCTGATGATCCTTCAGAAATCAGAATTCTCAAGAAAAAAAAATTCTTATTATTGTCAATGTTGAAAACAGTTGTGCTGCTTAATACTCTTGTGTAAACTGTGATACCTTTTTGCACGATTCTTTGATGAATAAAAAGTTCAAAAGAACAGCATTTATTTTAAATAGAAACCTTTTGTAACATTATAAATGTCTTTACTGACACTTTTGATCAATTGAATGTGTCCTTGCTGAATTTTTTTTTTTATTTCTTTACTGACCTCAAACTTTTGAACACTGTAGTGTAGATTTAAATTAATTGTAGATTTACCGTCAAAGAGTGCTGTATGCTTTCCTTGATTAATTAAATTGTAAAAATGTGATGCTTTAAATAATAATTCCGCTACTTAACTAAACAAGATTTTTGTAAATTCATGTTATGTGTGGTTGCAAATGAAGTACATTTTTGATCAGAGTTAGATCAGAGAACGGTTGTCTTTTATCCGTTGACAGCCCAAGGCTCTGTTCATCCCATAATATTTATTTTCACGCCAGCATTAACATTGGGGTGTGTAAACGCAAACTTGTTTGTTGTTCCAATGATAGAACAGCTGCACATTGAGTCATCATTTCTGTCTTGTGTTCATTATGACTGAGTTTGTGATGTTGAGTTCTAAATCATGTTGTGCACTATTACTAATTTGTCAATCACTTAAGAACATTTAGATGCACAGGTGTCCGCTTCTTGCCATGTTAACATTTCAGTTTTGACTTAAAATGAGCAAATACTGTACAAATGTTCTCCAGGTTCATACATTACATACAGTTGCAATCAAAATGATTCAACCCCCTTGACCATTTTGCTGCCGAGATTTTTTTTTTTTTTTATGAAAACAGTTTAACAAAGGCATCAGTAAACTATTATAGAACGATTATTAAAGGGATAGTTCACCCAAAAATGTTGTCATCATTTACTCACCCTCATGTTGATCCAATCCTGTATGAGTTTCTTTCTTCTGTTGAACACAAAAGAAGATATTTTAAAGAATGTTGGTAATCAAACAGTTGAATAGCATATTTTTCCATAAAATGAAAATAAGCCCATGATTTACTCACCCTCCAGTCATCCTAGATGTATATGACTTTCTTCTTTCAGACGAGTACAATCGGAGTTATATTAAAGTACTGTTTCTGTTTTGAGGTCCATACAAGTGCATCTATCCATCATAAAAGTGCTCCACACGGCCATTATAAAGCTTGGAAGAGCCAGGACATTGTTTAATGGAACTATACCTTTAATACACATTTGAGTGATTCTGAGAATGTAAAGTTGATGAAAATTAAAAAAAAAAAAAAAATCAAATTGGCTCTAAACATTCATGTACAAAATGATTCAACCCCCAAAAGTCAAATTTTTGTGCAGAATCTTTTATTCTTTAAAACCTCCAATAAACGCTGCCTGTAAGTGCTTAGAAGCTTCTGTCACCTCTCTACTGCAATCTTGCCACATTCCTCTCTTGAAAAAGCTTCCAGATCACTGATAATCTTTAGTTTTCATATTACCAACTGCTTTCTTCAAATTCCACAAAATATTTTCAATGAGACTTAAATCTGAAGACTGTACAGGCCACTCAATAATATTCTACGACTGATCCCTGAACCAAGCTTCAGTAGATTTGGATGTATACTTTGTGACGGCTGTCCTGCAGGAAAGTCCAGAGATCATCAAGCTTCAGTCTCTGCACCGAAGGCATCACCATCTTTGCCAAAATGGCTTGATACTTCAGAGAATTCAAGATGTCCTTCATACAGTCAAGATTTCCACTTCCTGCAACAGCAAAGCACCCCATAACAAGACTGGACCACCTCCATGTTTGACCATGTAGATGGTGTTCTTCTGCTCATAAGCTTTGCCTATTTTGCACCAGACACACTGCTGATCCATGGGTCCAAAAAGTTCCAGTTTGGTCTCATCACTCTATAAAACATTCTTCCAGAACTCCATAGGTCTATCCAAATGAATTTTAGCATATTCAAGTGAGCCTTTTGTGTTTTCCTTGTTCAAGAGTGGATCTCAAGTCCCAACATGAAGGTCATGCTTGTCTAGTGTTCTTCTTAAATGTTTTTTCCTTCTTTCATCAGGTCATCTTGCAAGTCTTTGGCTGTAAAAAAATAAATAATAATAATTCAGTTTGTCTGATCAAACATTTTATTCCCCTTAATGATATTGTCCTTTTTCTTCAACACCCTCAAATGTTTTCTGGTAAAACACATTTTAAACTTATGAATAAGGCTGCCAGCTGTGTCTCAAAAGCTTACATTTGTAAATTATTACAGTCTCCGGGGGGTTGATTAATTTGGATTGCAACTGTAGATTATTGATTTATCAGAACCATAAAAGATGGTTACTTATTTATGCATAATGTAATTATTATTCATGAATATTCATTATTTTTTATATTCAATGTCCCCACCAGTTTAATACAGTGTAATTCAATGTTCAGACGTCCCTGCGCACAGAATACTCCACAGAGTATAAAACTGTTGTTTAAATTCTTTGTTTAACTTTTATAACTATTTTTGTTCTCTCTCTCTCTCTCTCTCTCTCTCTCTCTCTCTCTCTCTCTCTCTCTCTCTCTCTCTCTCTCTCTCTCTCTCTCTCTCTCTCTCTCTCTCTCTCTCTCTCTCTCTCTCTCTCTCTCTCTCTCTCTCTCCAGGATGAAAAACAAGTTGTGGTACTTTGAATTTGGCACCACAGAGACCATCTCAGCCACTTGTAAAAAGCTGAACGAAACCATTGAGGTGGAGGTGAGTCCAGGACATTTAGCCCATCAATAGTGCCCTGTTTTACTTAAAAGTTGTAATTATATACAGCCACATTCACAGTCTTTTAACTGTGTATCGGGTCAGTATGTCCACTGAACACTTCCTTCAACAAACTGAGATTCATTAATGCAGCTGGCTACAGTATCTACAGTAAACCTCAGCCAGCTCTTACGCAGTCAATGTTGAGGGAACACGTCAGAACGTCTGTCTGAAAGCAAACAGTGGCAGATGACCTCTGTTGACAGCACTCCCATCATGTGAAAGTTGCACACTGGCCAGTTTGTGCCTGTGGTTAGATGTACATAATGAATAATGCATGATGTGATTGACAATGAGGAGTATGTCTTTTTTTAACTGATATAATATTATTTACTAAAGTGCTTGCTTGATATGTCATCAAGACAGAGATATTATAAAGAGGCAAAATTAACCACTCTTGTATAATGAATAGGCGAAACCATACATTTTTGATAGTTTGATTTGAGCCAAATATATGATTATTGTGCAATTTATTACTGATTTGAACAAGATTACATTTTTTTTTTTCATTCTGGTACATAAGAGCTGTACTTGAATGTTTACTACCTACATAAAAAAAGCTGCCAGGGGGCATTGTCAACATGGCCGCCAAGTGAACTGACTTGCCTTAAAGGGACTTTGATTCCGACCGAAGAGGCTGATGTTTCACAACTGTTATGACATTAGAAGAGTTATGAAAATATCAGCAGTTAAGGAATTTGCATTAGAAAAAAAAATGCTGTTTCTTTCTTCCACTCTTGTGTGGGATCTCAAGCAGATCAAGGCATCTCATTATGTCGTAAACGTGTCAGCATTCGTCTTTTGAAGTTTGTGTACTTTTCCACTGTACTGACGCCCTTGGTTTGATTCAGGGTGGTCTCTGACATCATAAAATACTGTACAACATTTCTATTTTTGGATCGCCGGCAGGCATTTTCACATCTCGCGTGTCTGGAATGCGATTGTTATTGATGCACCCATCCCAATAGTTAAAAACATGGATACAGTTTGTCATGCCTCAAGTGCTTTTATTATTCTTTCTTGTACAGTATTTAGCAGCAAGGGTGCATTAAATTGATCAAAAGTCTCAGTAAAGACATTTATAATGTTACAAAAGATTTCTATTTCAAATAAATGCTGTTCTTTTGAACTTTCTATTCATCTAAGAATCCTGAATTTTTTTTATCATTGCTTGCACAAAAATATTAAGCAGCACAGCTGTTTTCAGCATTGATAATAATAAGAAATGTTTCTTAAGCAGCAAATCAGCATATTAGAATGATTTCTGAAGGATCATGTGACACTGAAGACTGAAGCAATGGTTGTTGAAAACTCAGCTCTGCCATCACAGGAATTAATTACATATTAATAAATATATATTAAAATACAATACAAGGCATTTTAAATTATAGTAATATTTAACAATATTATAAATGCAGCCTTGGTGAGCATATGGGACTTTATATAAGAGGCTTATTGTATCTATTTTTTTTGTTGCAGATTTTCTTCAGTCAAGAAATGTTAAACATTTTCTGTTTTCTCTGTTTCTGTCCCAGTGTGATGGCATCATCTTGGATCTCAGCAGCACGGCTCTGGAGGGTATCGCTGTGCTCAATATTCCCAGCATGCACGGGGGCTCCAACCTGTGGGGCGAGTCCAAGAAAAGACGGAATTACAATCGCATGAGTAAGAAAGTGCCAGAGAGAATGACTGGCAGCACTGTCACCGATGCCAAGGAGCTCAAGTTTTGTGTGCAAGGTGAGTCAGGTTTAGGACATAAACCACTGAATAAGATCTGGGTTTCTCCTGAAATGTATCTCCAGCATCCTTTTTAAATTCAGCTGTTGCTACTGGCTGTTTGATTGTAGTACATTTAAGTGCTGATGACGAAAATTTACCGAAACCTCTGATTTCCTGTCACTTGTAATAAAATTCAAATTACTGGCCATCTTCGGTAGATCAGCACACCATGTGGAGCTGTTTCATATGCAGCTCTGACTCACAGCTGCCGTGGAGCTTTTAACCAATCGCTAATGAGCGGGAGCCTCTCCAGCTGCTCGTTACGCTGATGTTCAGTCTCACTGTGTTTTGGGACTTGCATGCGTTCATTTCCCAGAGTGTGAAGCACTATTAGCAGTGTTAATCATCATTTAGGGATAGCGCTATCTGTGTCAGCGCCTCACTGAGAATGCAGTCGCAGCTTTTCCAGATCCCACAGAGGCTGGTGTCACCGTCCTACTAAATGTCCTTCAGGGAGGGTAAGTCACCACAAAAGCCCTTGCCTGGCGTCACCATCAGCTGTCTCAGTCAAGAGATGGGAGCTTGGATGTGACTGTGCCTCCCAAGGACAGAGCAACAGCAGCTGTTTCAGGTGGCAGTGAATCAGCCTTCAGCACCAGGCATGTGTTTTGTCAAAGGGAAATAAAAATTCTTTCAATTTGAAATGAAAATTTATATCCCTGGTGAAGGTACTTGTCATATTCAAGGGGTATCTAGACTGGCTGTACGTCTCTGGCTCTAAACTGCACTCCAGTTTTAATCCAGCATACAAAAATCTGTGTTTTTAATTAAAATGGTGTAATAAGAAAATCTAGCTCTTTTAGACTGGTTGTCCTTGTATTGGTTGAGAGACTCTGTGGAGAGACTCTGTTTCTTTAAAGGTTGAAAACCCCTGAGCTAATGCACTTTTGCGCAAACAATTCTCAAATGCTGATTTGCTGCTTAAGAAACATTTGTCATTATTATTATTATTATTAATGTTTAAAACCGTTGTGCTGCTTAAGTTGTGATGTATTTCTTTTTTCAGGATACTTTGATGCATATACAGTTTTTAAACGAACAGAATTTATTTGAAATAGAAATCTTTTGTAACATTATAAATGTCTTTACTGTCACTTTTGATCAATTTAATGTCCTTGATGAGTCTTAAAAAAAATGATTGATCCCAAACTTTTGAACGGTTGTGTAAATGCGACTTCATATTTTGTAATTATGACTTTATTTTGCAATGTGACTATTCCAGATAATTGCAACCTCATAATTCCCCTTAGTTGTCGTTATGACTCTATATCTCCCAATTGTGACTTTATAATTCACAGTGTGACATCTTTTCTTTTTAAGCTTTTAATGCTAAACTTAATCTTCACTTTGTTATTTTACTATGAGGCGGTAACGGGCTTCCATATTTAGGTGAAAACATTGTGATTTTGACGTTATTTTCTGCACTATTTAATATACATACATCCCTCAGCTTCATCCAATGGGATTGTTTGTGTGCAAAAGTGTGCATGCTTACAAACAAATGTTATATATGCATGACAGCGCATAATAGAGCCCATATATGGGTTTCTAGTCAACATGACCATTGAGTGGGAAGTAAGACCCTTGAGATGTTTTTGTTTTGTTTTGTTTCTTTTCTTTTTTAGCTGACGTCAGTAAGTGACGGCTGTGACCTTCGAGAGCAGCATCTTGATTTTGAAATCCCTTCTGATGTATTTAGGCACCTCTGTCATTTTCGATGACCTGTGTGTTCATCACCTGTTCCTTCTCTCTCTCTCTCTGGTCGGTTTCAGTTCTCTTCACATTTACAACTCTCTCTCTCTCTGTGTGTGTGCTTTTCTGTACTCCACTGACTGACTCGCATGAATCCATGTTACCATGGAGACCTCCAGGCCCTCCTGAACAGCATATAGGGACTGAAAGAGAATGAGAGAGAGAGAGATAGAGAGTGGGCTGCTGTGAGCAGTGTGACTCATATCAGTAATCTTTAACTGGCCTTCAGGCACAAATACTCAAGCACTGCATACAGCACATACAGTAGAGGTCTGTAGCCACATCCTATCTAAAGTAACTGATCACTCTGTCGGTTAGTTAGATAGTCCAATCATCTGCATGAATCAATAAGTGCTACGGTGTTTCTGAGAACTCAACAGTCATGTAGGTGATGCCGACTCGCTCCACATGTTTAGATGGCACGGGTTACATGACTTGCTGTTTACAGCTGTAAGATCATGACCTCATCTCCACCTCTATGGAGTGTATTTTTAGAGTGTAGAGTGTACTGATTGTGTGCTAATGTTGCTGAGGTGTTTTCTTTTCCTGTTCCCACACTGTACTCCTTACAGGAGCATAGTCTGGGGGTTGCCTTATTTCTCCTCACCTCTCCTCATGTCATGCTGTATTTTCCTCTTGAAATTTCTCACTTGTGAGACAAATAAAGGCATTATCTAATCTAATCTAAAACAAGCATTCCCTAAATTTAGTTGGGGGTTATATTTAGGTACTAGTGTTCCACTCCACTTTTTTTGTTTTGTTATTACATTTATGTTTTTTATATAAATTATACATATTTATTATATTTATATAGTGTCATATTTTATTTTTGTTGGTATCATCTTTTCTATCAAACCTTGATGGAAGCATTGTTAGGCGAATGAAAAAGCCTTAAAAACAGTTGAACTCAGGTTTGAAGTATTCATATATGTTGTTAGCTTTGCTTTATGAAATGGTGATAATATTGTAGTGTTGTTTTTGTTTGATCTAATGGGTTTTTTATTTTTAAAAGTGTATGATTGGCAGCTTTAGTGTAACAGTAATAGTGTAAAGGCATAAAGTCCCCTATGATCAGCAACGGTGGATTTATTCGATCAAAATAATATTGTAAGATAGTATTACATTTTTAAATAACTGTTTTCTAATTTACAATTTTTAAAATGGCTAAGCTGAATTTTTAGCATCATTCCTCCAGTCTTCAGTGTCACATGATCCTTCAGAAATCATTCTGATTCTGGATTTGTTTTTTTTTTGTTTTTGGCTGAATAGAATTTTCAACAGAACAGTATTGAAATGGTCTTTACTGTCACTTTTGATAATTTAATGCATCCTTGCTGAATGATTTTTTTTTTATCTAACTGAACTTTCACATAGGTAGTGTAGCCTATGTTCTAGTAAGCATGCCTCATTGGAGAGTTGTAGAATTAGCATACTGTACGAGTATGATGATAATGAGTTAAACATAAGTATAACATGAAATGAGCATGCAAAAGTTGACTTTTTTTTTCATGTTTGTATATATCAGGAATATCTGAAATAATGAAGCCGTATTTGTGTAGTAGCTTCTCCACATCTCTTATCTCAAATCGGCTCTTCCTTTTTCCTCTCTTTATTTCAGGGTCACAATGGGGCATTTTGTCCTTTCACCTGCTTCCCACACCCTTTAACTCTCCTCTTTCTTTCTCTTTATGGCTCGTACACAAGTCACTCCACCCTTCCCACTGCGATCTTGCTGCACACTGCCTCATGTTGCTGGCTATTTCAGGGCACTGGTGCCATTCATTGTTACATCCCACAAACAAAAACACACACTTACACACACTCTGAACCTCGTAAACACAGAGCGAATGATTTGTGTTGTATTTCCTCACTCCCGTCGCACATGACAGGAATAGAAGTACAACTCTCCACCCATAGAGCATTGTGGGAACACGGTGACTCAGTGGACGAAAGGGACGCTTTCCACTGTGGCTCAGCGTCCTCAATCGGTGGCCAAAAAAGCCAATCGACTGCTTCGCTCTCGCTTTAGCAAGAGTGATGGACGTCTGAAGAGTGGCTCTCACCCCTCAGGGGTTCAAAATCATTGAAGATGTTTCTGGCCCAAGGGGCCCTTTCCCATGATCTGCATCATGAGAGCTGTGATTGTTGGCCTGCTTTGTGAGAGGAGCTTTGTTTGTGAATGGCATGGGAACAGAGGTTGGGAGACCGGCGAGCTCTTTTGCATGCAGAACGCCAGTGAACGGAGCGTGCGCGAACAGAGCGCATCCGTACAGTGAGTGTGTGATGATGAGGAGAGCCTGAGCAGTGTGGCAGACTATCAGTAGGGCTCTCATTGAACAACACCCACCCCGGACCCGGTATGTGAGTCATGACAAGTCATGAAATGCTAAACAATGTAAAAATTAACACCTATCGTTCATCGTCGTAAATGTCTGCCGGGGTGTGAGACTGTTTTAAGACATGTCACAATACTGACATAATGAGAACGGCTCTATTGAATAGAAGCATGGGAATGAAGTGTGTCATGAGGAGTATGTTGTATAAGTAGAGCAGGGCTGGAGCTATAGAGAACATACTCAATAAAGTGTGCAGTGTGTTCACAAAAATCTTAAGAAAAAAGTCAAAAAAAGAGAACTTCTAAGATATTTATGAGAATGTTCTAAGTGCAGTTAAGGGCATTTTTCACATATTCGTTTAAGAACAATCTAATTAATTTTATCATAGGGATAAAATGACAGACTTGTTTATTTACTATCTTACTCATGAGTTTGCCTTTTTTAATACCGTAAATTAAAAAATAAAATTTAAAAAAAACTTTACACTGGTAAATCTAAAAGGGTTAGTTCACCCAAAAAAATTATTATCCCATTATTTACTCACCCTCCAGCCATCCTAGATGTATATGACTTTCTTCTTTCAGCCAAACACAATCATAGTTATATTTAAAAAATCCAAGCTTTATAATGGGAGTGAATAGTAACAGATTTTGAAGCCCAAAAAAGCGCATCCATCCATTATAAAAGTAATCCATATTATGCTCCAGGAGGTTAATAAAGTCCTTCTGAAGCGAAGCAATGCGTTTTTTTAAAGAAATAGATCCATATTTATAACTTTATAAACTAGAATCGGCTACCGGACGTGAGTTGAGTTCCGGTGGAAGAGTGACCTCTGACCAGACATATGACGTATTGATGATCCACGCAGAG